ATTTCTGAAGTGGAATAAGAAAGCCACTCTTCTCATAAAAACGGAAAATACCTAAATTCAAGGACTGGCTAAGGATCTTTGAAATAACACTACATAGCTCGTCAGAGCTTCATTTAAGTATACATGATGGAGTGCCATCAGTCCAGGAATGCCAGGCCCAGGCTCACAGCTATATGTTAGAGACCTCAGACCTTGTAAAATGTTACTTTGCAAGTTAGGAATCGAAAGCGTGTTACTGATCCGATATGGACAACTAACAGTTAAATCGGAGTCAGCAATTAGAACACTTCGTCGCACAGAGATTTGAGGTTTCAATATCACCAGAGGAATTGGCACGACTGAAAGAAATCTGCGAGCAATATATGGAGATTTTTCTCTTGGAGTTGGCGAACTTAAAAAAATATTTAGGACATTGGTGGTTTGAGTAATCAAATCCATGCCTTGCAGCAGAGTAAGCGAAATAGTCGAAGGCGAACTACTTTTCATAAATTTTTTGGAAACTTTGTGTTTTCATGGTGGGCACTTGCTCCGAGGGCGAGGTTGCATGTTTAGAACCGATGCAGAAATAGCTAGGTCTAATACATTACAGAACGATGACAGTAAGGTTCCAATATTCCCAGTAGAAAAATCGAGTATAATGTTTGAAAGATGAACTTTAAGCAGTGAAATATTGGTTTCGTGAATATCATATTGTTTATTTGAGGAAGTTGGATTTGACCCATTAGAATGGTTCAACGGGCCATCGTAACTATACTAAAAGGAAATGCAAATTGATGGATGATACGCACGTTCAGGTGAACTAAAAAGTGGGCAGCGATTTACAACGACTTTACCTTGTGAAATTCGCCAAATGAAGATCTAGAAGCCTGCCATTACAATTAGAAGTACGGTCAAATAATTCATTGAAAAACTAAACGGTTCTATCAGATGCTGAAGTGGGTCCACACGCTCACAATTATCAATGGAACACGAAAGGATTTGTGCCAAACTGAAGTCTCCCAATACTATAATTATATCGGTAGGTTTACATTTTTCGGTCACGTCACAAATTAGGGCAGCATGTTTATTATTATCTTTCGTTTTTTGATGAAAAGATATACAAATTATATACAGTTTTGATCATACACACAACACCACGACACTTTGGTATTACTAAAAATGTAATACCTATGTAGCATTTTCATTTTTTTGCACGTTGTTCGTACAAAATTCTGTTCATAGTGGCTTGGCGTTTTCGTTATTCCTTTTGCGATTATATATTATTAGCAGATGCCCTTAAGCATTACCATGTTAATATAAATATATATGGGCTACGCACATTTTCATAGAATTAGCACGGTTAATAATTTCCTGATTTTTGCATGTGGAAAAAAATGTCGTCAATTAACAAGATAAGGAAAGCACTTTTAATGGCAATGCTTTGTTGTAAGTGCAGAATTTCATTTACTTTCATATATTATCAAATAAAATGTTTCATTATTTCTCAATTTTTACAAATTGTTTTCAGACTTTTCATGCACTTGCAATATTGCAAGACTCTTCCAGCGTACAAAACATATTTAAAATTTTAAATTCAAGTACATGCAGGCGGCTGCTAATTTTGATTCATATATTACCATTCATGTCTTAATTTATTCTTAATTCCCATATATTTCGCTTTCCCGCTCCTTTTTTTTATCTTTTTTCCTTTTTGGCCTCCTGGCTCATATATGCAATAAATGTTACAAACGAACCTCGAATGTTACATATTCCTGCCATATAGCTTGTTACATTTATAGAAAATATGTTTATATCCATATAGAATATTTTCAATAAAATTTATTGAAGCATCTGACGAGCATAAAATTTCAGATTTTGTGATGCGAACATAAAGTGTAATTAAGTTAGTAGATGCTTTCATGTATTTTGATCATTTTCGACTTGAAAAAGGCATTTATTGAGAAAAACTGGTACAATATGTATTATTAATCAAAATATTTTCCATCAATTTTTTACACCTTTTTCCCATTTTATGGCGACATCGCGATACGGCGTCCAAAAAAAGGGTATTGGTTTGCGACCCAAAAATCAACCCATTTTTGCACTTTTTCAGCATTTCGCAACCGCGTGTCAGTCAAGTCATTCTGCATCGATCTGAACAAGTGCTAATGAGAACACGCTATGTTCTTTGCTTACGCTGGGTGCGGCAGAACTTCCGTATAGCCGTCAATGGGAACGAGTGATAAGCGGAAAAAGTCATATCTGCTGAATACGGCCGTCAAAGTTGCCGTGACAGTTTTCGCACCATGTAGGCGGGCGTTGTTGTCCTGAAAGATAAATTTGTCATGTCTTTTAACACATTAAGAATATTTGAGCTTTAAGACTCATTGAATGTTGTTGGTAACGTTCACTAGTGGTGGTTTGATAGTAGAGCACTCCGAGTTGATCCTAAAAGATGCACAGCAACAGCTTGTTTCTGTATGTACTCGGTTTGACTGTTGAAGTTAATTCATGACCGGGCTTAGCGCACGATTGTGAACCATTTTTCGACCCCGTTCCCATTTGATGTAAAAAACTCCTCCGTTTTTGCTTTTCGAACAGTTGTTCAAACGTGAAAAACTGCCGTTCGACGTCTCTTGGCTTAAGTTCATACGGAACCCGATTTCCTTCTTTTTTCACTTCCAGTTCAAAGTTTGCTTCCTTTTGATTTTGGCATGAATCTTGGTGCAAATATACCTGTAACTAAATATTTTCAAACTTTACTTTCGCATTCTTTATCACTGATGTCAAAATTGTTACTTTTTACTTACTGGAACCACAATTCATATGTTTTTATTCCTGCAGTATGTTCCTCATATGCATCACACAGCAGTCGGTGTTATTTAATTGCATTTTTCTTCCAATTCAAAAAAAAAAGCAGCGGGTGTAAATTGTGTTTTGCTATGATACACAGAGCTTGCCAGATCTACCGGACGGGAAGAATCGGTAGGAATTCGAATATTGGAAGTAGGAAATTTGTGGATCTATAGACTATATTTGGTTTCAACACTATTTAAGAGGCTGTAAAATTCTTCCTTCATTTTTCGGCATATTTTGGAATGCAGGAAGGAACATACCCATCTCTTGCTCGACGGGTTTTCTGGTTCCAAGAAGAAGTTGGCCAATATGGGGAAATCTTTTATTATACATTGCATAGACGTTTGATCATTCTGTGCATTGAATAAATTTGCAAAATATTTTCCGGCTGATATAAATGATTATGCTTTGGTTTGACTGACATTGTTTTTAGCAGATTCTTTTGCCTCAATTTCTTTCTGGATCGATTCTTTGCAATTTTCTACGTATTTTTTGTGTATTATATATTCGATGTATGGCCTGTCCCATTGCAATTCATGCAATATGGATCTGCAATCATTGATTCATTTGCCCAGCAGAAGCGTTACTAACAATTAGGGCTGTGTCAGAATTGTTGTTCATGCAGAGAGGTGTAGTGAATGTTGTTACCTTTCCTATAACATCTAGAGTACCTTCGTTCTTTTTTACTTTACTCTATTTGTATACCGATGCGTGGTCCCCTTATTATAAGGGAACTTGTTTCAAATCTTTCGCTTCACATGAATAAGCATGCACAGTTTGCTCACTTAATGTTTGTAGCATCAAAGGCATGAAAAAGCTTTGAAAATTTTTGTACAAGCTTTCAACTTATCCCTATCTAATACTTCACTCGCATAATTGAAATTTGTGATTCTAACCTTAAAAATTTCCCATCCAACAATGGTGGACCTATCGTTCTTACCATAGAAAATACAATTAATTCGTTTCTCGAGCTATAAGTCACGTTAACCTCACAAATTCCCAGTGGCAAAACACTGTTATCATCATAAGATTGCAATAATATTTCACTTGGCTTAGATTTATAATCACCATAAAATATTTCCGAAATTAGGTTGTTGTCAGAGCCGGTACCTAGTTGCGCCAGGACCGTTGTATTATTTAGTTATTTTGAGTTTAATTAGACCATCGCTTACGAGCCTAAAAATGAATTAATTTCGGAATTTCCATAACATTATGTGTTGGCTTTTACACACACTCTTTGTGTATGTAACCTATCGTATATTCATATCCGATAGGTGTGATGTGCTGTTGTATAGTGATTAGTTTTGCACGCGGTATACCGAAGCGGCTTGTCGGAATGATGTGGATCTAGATAACTAGTTCAAAACAAATATTCACGCTGCAGAAACAAAATCATTATTGTACTTGTATGCATTATTTAACTTAAAACGTATAATCAAAAAAATATATAAATAAATAAAAAATTAAACAAACCGTTTTACGAAGTTGTCCTAACTCATGTCTATCCTTAACTCACTCTGGTTTCCTTCGGAAATCTCATCAAATGTTTATTTAAATTATACTAATAAAAAAAAAATTTTAAAAAATGCACCATTTCTTCCATTTACGCGACATCTGTTGTTTAAGCATCTTCCACTTTTTCCAGCCACAATAAATTCTGCAATAGGCTTCCGATAACGTCCTCATAAATATGGCTTTCCTCTTTGTGGTTTCTGTAATTTTGTTAGTAAGAAAAATGAATTTTTTCTTTTTGGGTTGTTGAGTGGAGACGCACTAAGAGTTCAATAATCTACCATTCATTCGGCACATGGTTGAGTGTTGACATTTTACCTAATAATTTCTCGCTCATTTGCTGGTTTTCTTAATTCAGAATTATACTAAATTAACTTTTAATCATTACCGAAACCTTGAAAATTCCTTTAACTTTATGGTTGGATTAAATCTGCCTTTTGATCTTTACATGCATGTGTTATTTTTGTGAGGAGAAAAAGAAAAAAAAAGACTACTAGCCAGCACTCGTCGCCATTTGATGTTTTTATTGCCAAAGATAGCAACCAATGATAAATACTCTACAATAGTTTCATATTATTTACAATACTATTTTCGAATAAAATGTCATGGTTTTGGCAGTTGAGAGCAAGTGAAATTAACAGAATTGATCAAAGTACAATAAAAATTGACATTATATAAAAAATAAAAAACGACTGAAAAAATTACATTAAGGCTGACTGTGTTTTTTTTAACCGTTTGTTATTATGGTAGGTGAGGGTGTGTAGGCAATAAAAAAATTAACAACCGTGCGAGCCTTAAATTATGATGCTGTTATGTCCAAGCTAATTGCATTTGGTATTGATAGCAATATCACCCGATTTACACAGAGTTTCTTGAACAACAGTACGGTAAGAGTCGCAATCGACAATTTTTTTTCAAATGATTCCGACTTAAATGGATTTTCACTAACGATGTCAGGTTCGATTTACTCATTCATAAATAATAGATTTTGTGTCATCCGTTTTTCTCAATAAAGCGCCAAGCAGCACCCAGCAATAAAATGAACGCTTCACGATCCGTGACACACTAAATCGGGACTTGACAAAATATTTGGTGGTTCAAAGTTGGTAATCTTTAATACCACAAAAAGGCAGGACTGTCTTCTAACTCATAAGAGTGAGAGCAACAACCCCTCTCCTTTGATGGCGTAGAAGAACCGGCATCTTTGGGTATTATGAGTAGGAGTTTACTCGGCGTAGCATGGGCTGCGTTGTGTTTATGTAGAGATACGTCCACGGTAGGAGTTCCCCGGAGGTAAGAGGAGTTAGTGTTGTTGTGACGGGTCTTCTCATCCGGGGTATTTTCAGGGTTTCTCAGGAAATCCCCTTCCAAGAAATTTTTAGAAGGTGTTGGACCTTCGTATTTTCTTCTATATATTATTTCTTTAGTGTTTACGGGAATTTCGATTTCGTGTATTTTAGGATGAAAACTGTTTTGAGAAACAGCTATGATCCACGTATTAATAATGATAAATGTATTAATAGTTATGGTTTTCGTACTAACGAAGAAAACTAGCGTGGTGAATCGCCACCTGTTGTTGGTCGTACCTACTCTGTCAGATATTACTTTCCGCGCTCCGTAAGTACTAAAGACCTGCAAAATACAAGGAAGATGTTACAGCAGCCATCCTTATGGATCAATAGGGTCACTCGTCCGTTCCTATCTGTGCCCTAGTTGCCTACCCGTTGGAAGACTCATCAGAGGGGTGGTTCCGTCTGTTTTTCACGCATAACGAATAAGGTGACCCAGTCATCTCCCATCCGTAAATCAAATACTTATCTGTGGTTCAGGGAGAATGACTATGCTAAGCCAGTTATCCCCTATCACTAAAATAAAAAAATGATTATCCTGATTAGTAAAGACGAAAAACAAAAAATACACAATATTACACACCTCCTTTGCTGCTGTAATATAAATGTAACGCCGACTGTGTTGTGTCACGCTCCTTTATAGTCGCGATCATGATCGCTATGCAGTTACGCAGTTGCTTTACTTGTGTTTGTGACCACGCATTCTATGTTTATTATAATATGTAACAGTTAATGCTATCAATGCTATCTTAAGTATGTATTTGGATGTATATTAATACTAACCACATAATAATACTTAGTATTTTTATGTTTATCGCTTATAATTAAAACGTATCATTATTCATAAATGGAAACTATGGGTAGGCAACAAAAGTAAATGTGTTACAATATGTAGTCGTTAATCCCTATATAGCAACAACAATGCAATATAGCCTTAGCAAGTAATATTTCAGAAACAAGGGTAGGTAAGAAAACATATAGATCATTGAACGTGAACTATTTTTTGCAGTTAGAAATTGCTGACTTTTATTTTGCTTTAGTCGTTTTTCACGTAGACAGTTTAATAGGTGCATCATCTTTAAAATTGTGAAATGTAAAATGTTCCATATTTTGCTGTACAAAGTGTACCGTAAAGGTTCCAACCTCCGCGTACATAGGGTAGGAGGAGTTCCGTCATTCGGCTTTGTCCCTGCGCTATTCCAAAACAGTAGCGCAACCATAATAACGGAGTCCCGTAGGGTAAAGTTTCTTTTCGTAATTTTTAGCTCGCATAGTAGACTCATGTAGAGAGAGAGAACTATGAAAAGAAAACAAAGTCCTGTGCTGGTTTTAAAAAGAGTAAATAGGAAGATCAGAAAAGGCAGCAGTGCGATAAACAGTTGGTAATAGTTCTTCTATTCTTGATTATTGCGGTTAAATGAAAGTACAATTGTGATAAATGTTCAATTAATCAAGTGTACTTAAGTTATATAATTAAATTACATAAATGTATATATATACATACATATACGTATGCAATAAATTTAAAATTGAATGAATACTAACACTAACAATTGTTATTAATACACATAATAATAAAACAATTGGTGCGAAAGACCAACGTTCTTCCTTGAACAAGCAGTTGAAAATAAGCAAAAAACTAAAAATGTGAAGACAATTAAGAAGTAATGTAAATAAATCGTGAGTCAAACTATAAAGAATTGTAAGACAAGAGAAAACAAACTAATTTAAAAGTAATTGAAACGATCATTTCATTGAAACTCATTTTGAAGAAAATACACTTTGCACGTTGTTGTTGTGTTCCATATGTGAACTTAATTGCGTGAAATAACGCGCACATAAATATGTATAATTCTAAAAGCGATTTCTTTGTATTCGCGTAATTAAGATTTATGTACCTGTTTTTTATGCTTGCCTCTATTATGGAACCATAAGAAAAAGTGAAAAAAAGGCAAACAACTAACATTGAAAAGTTGATGAACAAAAAAATTAATTTTAGAAAGAAAATATGGAGTTTTATGCATTTTGAAATTGGAAGAAAGTTTTGTAAGAAGTTACTTTAATCCAAATCGAAACAATGTTAAGTAGAATTCTCTCAAACCAATGGTGAACATCTAGCTGTGCTTGGGGGCCTAATCAAAATTTTCTGTGTTGTTCATCATAACCTCGATTGGTGATGCCCGTCTTCATACGTACATACTATGCAATTATCTTCAATGCATCGCTGCCGTTTTTCATCATCACAGTCATCGCTGTTATCTACTTATTGTAAATTGTAGACACTCCTGCGGAAGGAGTTGTAAAAACATAAGATTAAGGTCGGGTATTATAACGTTGCAAACAAACTAAGCATACTACAGGCAGGAAAGTGATCATGGGTAAAGACTAACGGAAAACGAGACTCGCGGGCAGATATGAAATATATACATATATGTGAAAAAAAGGAAAAAGGAAACGACAAAAAAAAATTAGATTATAGCTGAACTAGTCAGGTGGCAAAAAGGACAAACCCAGCTTCCACTTGCACATCACAAGATAAGACGTATTCGTTGAGAAGGAATTGCAATATGAATTAATTGTTATAATAATATTAGATGGGTTGATGGGTCGTTGTAGCAAAGTAGAAAGAGGATTGAAAAAAAGGACAAGTTTATTGTCGCAGCAAACAAAACTTCGTCATGAATGCCTTAAAGCCCAAAAAAAATATTGAGAGACACAATATTAGCGAGGCCAGGTCTTCTCAAGTCGTCCGGAGCAATTTGAAAAAAATTGCGAATGTTGTGTCCTCTGCAACTCGTCAACGGTTATTTGATGCCAGTCTACCAGGAAGAATAGCTCGAAGAACTTCTTTGCTCAGAAGAGTTATTTTGAACATGGATAAAATAATAAAGATATCATAGTATATATGTAGAAGTATTTATGTAGAAGTATATGTAGATATAGGTATAGATATATTTATAGGTATAAGGGTATGTTCGAAGGGGGTATATAGCACAACATCTAAGTTGAATGTCTTGGTTTTCGTTAAGTTGATCTCGAACGACCTAAGAGCTAAGGCAGGAACCAAGCGAATAACATCGTCCTGCTAGAGACAAGACAAATCAGACAGGATATTTCTTTCTAGATAGATGTATAGTTTACTGTCCAATATAGAAAATTGACTGCTATGGAAGCGCGGTGAAGATTATCTCTACCTAACGTAATTACTCATTGGACAAGATTGGCTTAAAACTTTGCTTTATACACGAAGATGGCTCATAAAATTTACTCTGTGTCGTAGCAGAAAAATTAGAATCCACGTTTTCTCAATAAGTCTTGCTGAATCAATGGCGGAATGGTCTACTTCCGAAAATCTCGGGTAGCACTCACTTGCAAATCTCGTGTGGCATATCTTAGTCGCAAAAGGGAAATGGCAAGGTATCGAAAACTACGCACAAAATAAACGGTGGAACTTACGATCAACATGGATGATCATTGGGAAGCTGGATTATTCAACTGAAACTGACAAGAACTACGTTGTTTTTTTTAGAAATGGTTTGAACAGTAATATTATAGTAAAAAAGAAACTCTCCTCCTTCAGTCGAATCTTGATTAATTAAAAAGAAGCCTAAATGAGTTCCAAAAATTTTTATTCTTTTCATTAAAATTGTTCACATCATCTTTAAGATAGCATTTTAACGTAAAATAAGTTGAGGGATACGAGAATCTTAATTTAAACGTAAATTATTGACAAATAATCTCCTTTTCAGTTAATTGGAGAGGTACAGAGCTATAGAGAACAGCATTATTTTGGGCATCACCAAATATCTATTGAAACCGTCAGAAACTGTTGAAAATCATGTTCTTAACGCAGTAAATCGCATTATTGAAAATCCGCCGAATCAAAATTTGCGCAAAGTTTTTAAAAGTTGTCGACGGTATAGCTCCTTTTCCGGTAGAGCGTTTATAAAATTTACAACATGCCGTGCCGCATGACGAAAAGAACTAAAATTAAGAATAAGATAAAAAAAAAGAAGAAGGCTCTAACGAAATCCTTATGGAGCTCACACCGTGTGACGAGCCCACGAGTTAAGTCCGTCTATGAGGCCCATTGTCTGTACTGCTCGTTGGTTCCTTCCAATCCGTCAGTGCACATTCCCTGTCTCCTTACCCCCACTCGCGCGCACACCCACCCATACTCCGCTTCAGCGCTCGGATATACCGCTCATCCAAGCATTATCCTTCTTTCGTTTTCTTTCTTTTTTTCACTTTTTAAACATTTAAACTACATACTAAACTGCACTAGCTAAACGCTAAATTAAAGAGTAATTGTTAATGCAGTGCCAAATAAATCCGATGTAATGTAATCATATGAATATGGAAATATAATTTTTATTCTTGGTAACTACTTCGCGTATATAGGTGAAACAGGTGTTATTCAGAGTACATATTGTAAAACGCAATGTGAATATATTTCTTTAAAGATTATTAAATATTTTTTGTTTTCTTTTTTTTCATTTTCCTTGCTTTTATTTTATATTAAATTTTAATAAAAATACGTACGGGGATGCTCTTGTAAAGTTTCATTTTCCATACCAGAAACAGATATAACCAAAAAATTCCTAAAATCACTTTTTTTCTTTTATTGCGAACAATATAAGGCAAAATATTCCACAAAAATTTCTGGATTCGTGTTCAAGTTTCTATAAATTAAGTCTATGATACAGCCAGTCGTTTGCCAATTTTTGGTTAATAGATTAATGTTCGCCCCTTTTTATAATTTTTTTGTTCTTTTATAATATTTTAATTTTAATAGTTTCTTTCTGTTTTTTACTAATATTTTAATATTAACAATTTTTTTTCTTTACGTATATTACTTTTTAATCTCGAACTTTTTCTACCAAACTTGCACAATTTTCTGTTCTTTACATCGATATATTTTTTTTTGATTTTACTTATTTCTTATTTTTGCCGTTTTTTTGTTATTTATTAAACAGACACCATTATACCAATAAAGTAGTTATAATGTAAAAATCTGAGCAATTTTAACAGTAATTAATTAAATTTCTGATTTCAAAGCTTCAACCAAAACACTCCGTTTTTCACAGCACAACAATTCGAACCACACTCAGCCTTTTAAACTCGCCGCACAAAGCATAAAAGCTCTTTGTTCTGCTCGTGTTTATATTTTTTCTCTTCTTTTTTCTTAAATATCGTTGAGCGAGATCTTAACATGACAAAGTACTACGCCAAATCTGTTCAGAACTTCAGAAATAAACAAAACTAATATGTTCTAAATACAAAGACGGATTCTTTTCATGGTTTTCTCTTCCATAATAGGGTAGTTTAGCAAGAGAGACCATTATGATTAGAGATTTTTCTTTTTTTTTCTTTCCGTTTTTTCTGTGCATAACGGCAAGCAAATGTGATTTTGCCTAAAGGCAGGTCGTTATTACGGTCTTACTTACTCTATTGGGATAGAGTAGTGGTCAAAGCAGACCGGCGTGACCCCTACACTGCAATTGTACGTGTACGTGACAAAGGGTATTATTAGGTGCATTTCAAGGGTTTGAGACAAACTCTTGCAACAATTACTAGCAAATGTTAGTCTAGGTGAAATATACCTTGAGTATTTATACGTGAAATGCGCCAACTATCCTCCGGAAAAATGTCAGATGATTTACTGAAATCTTCGCAAATATCAAACAAAAAAACATATCCTTTGTTCAAGGCGGCTGACGAAGAAAAATTTAAAATATGTTGCCTTTTTGTACGAAAAAACTCTTCAGACGATCAGTTTCTCCTAGATACAGGAGCCAACGTTTCGGCAATTCAAACATCTATCCAGGAAAAGCATTCAAAACCAAACAAACTTTAACTTCAAACCGCAATGACTCAATTATTAATAAAGACAAACTTTTGCATTTAAAGCTTAATTTAGGACGACAATTTGTGTGGCAATGTATAATTGAAGATATTCTACAAAAAATTATCGGTTCTAGGTTCAGAGAATATGTTTGGTTGCTTGTCGATGTCAAAAGGAAACGATTTAACAATAATCTAACAAAGTTAAGCACAGTTTGTCCCGCCCCAATTAAAAACGATACCTTCTCTGTTAAATGTTGACCACTTCCTGGAAATTTTACATTTTATTCTCTGTTATCAAAATTCAAAGACCTTATGGAACCATTAAGCATCTTACGGAAGGTCAGACATTCACTGAATAACATTAAAAGCAAGCAACTTGGTATTTATCATAAACCGTGCAGATTATCTCCTGAGAAACTTAAAATTGCACCAAGTGATTTCAATTATATAACGCAGATGTTTACACGATATTTCAAGTCTTTAACATGGCAAGTCAATCTTTTCCAAAGTAGATTTGGCAAAAGCTTATTTCGAAATCGCTTTGGAAGTGGCAGATATACCCGAAAGAGCCACTATCAAGCCAATAGGGCTTTCACATTTAAAGGGATGACATTTGGTTTGCGTAATGCAGCATAAATTTGTCAAAGACTTATACATGATGTCCTAAAAGGCTGCGAATTTTGTTACGTATATACTGACAATATTCTTATCATTTCTGCAAACTTGCAAAAACATAAGGAGCACTTTAAAACATTCTAGTTGATTAAAATTCTATGGCGTGACAATAAATTGTGGAGGGTGCTAAATCAGGAGAAGCAATTTAGCTTCCTAAGGGCTTTTAATAACAGCAAAAAGATTATTACAAAATTCATATAAAAAAGAATGTATAAAAGCAATAGAAGAATATCAGCGACCATAAAACGAACATGAGTTTGATCAATTTTTTGGTCTTATAAATTTTTATTAGTAGTCCAGCCCCAAAGTAGCCGGGACCAAAACTCTTTCCCATGATTTGCAAAAAGGTGAAAAGAGAAACGATACCCAAAAAATTATGCGGACATATGAGTTAAAAAACGCTTTACATTGCTGCTAAAAACAACTTCCCGGCATTTCGCTCCGAACCTACCCAATCGAAATATCACCTCTATTACTTTCGAATTTTAATATGGGAGCAGTTTTGAAAAAAATTTGTTAATGGTCGTTGGGTACCGCTTCGATTTTTCTCAAAGAAATTTACGGATGCATAATGCCATTATAGCACGTACGCTTACGAATTATTAGTTGCTTCCATGTGTTTTAATAGTGCCCTCTCTTGGTGAAAATCATAAATGTACAGAACAGTTACATTCGATGATTTTTCATTTAGTATGATTGAGTTATTTAGTGTATATAAACGCTAACTTTGGAACGCTCAAAATTGCATTTTCGACATTCATTATTTTTGCTGTTTGATTTGAAGAAATCTGGTGCCGAAGAACCTTTAAACTCTTATAGAAGCTTAAATGGTGATGCTGTTCCGTCATATCCAAATTGTCGGTTTTGGTTTCAACTGCTTAGAATTGGTTATTTAGATGTCAATGACAGAGAAGAGGAGGATTAAAACAGTTCGAAGGCAATTCATTGCAAGAGTTATTGCACGAAAACATAACTAAAGCTCGAACAACTTAGCAGTTGATAAATCAACTGTCTGTAGACGTTTTTATGCCAAGGGAAACGTCCAAAAAGAGTAAAAATGGTTACCATACGAATGGGCTAAAAATGCTACTTCGAACCATCTCAATATCGCGGTTTTATTGCTTGCCAGAAAAGAGTGAAGCGCTTTCATTGGCGGGTTGTGACTGGCGATGAAAAATGGGTCTACTACGATATTCTCAAACGCAAAAAGTCATACGTTAGACCAGAAGAGCCATCCACATCGACATCGAAGCGAGGTACTAATGGCCATAAAGTTTTGCTGTTCATAAGGCGAGATCAGCAAAGTGCCGTATATTACGAGCTGCTAAAATCGAATAAAGCTATTAATGCAGATGTCTACCGATGTTAGTTGAACAAATTGAACGATTTTTTGTTGCAAAAAAAATAGCAATAGCATTCACCAGACTTAAGTTGGCATAACAACGCTTTGCCACACGTTGCAAGTTGTCGCAGGTCAAATGGAAAGTTCTGCCACACCCAGCGTAAGCAAAGAACATAGCGTGTTCCCATTAGCACTTGTTCAGATCGATGCAGAATGACTTCACTGACACGCGGTTGCGAAATGCTGAAAAAGTGCAAAAATGGGTTGATGATTGGTTCGCTGCCAAACCAATACCATTCGAGTAGTCTCTATTCTGAAAAAGTCAGAAAATTGCTTGGTTCAAAAGTTGTCAATACAGTATCCTATCATCTTCAAAATAGCGGCTAATTTGAGAACTGGCATCGAACATACAACATCCTATCATCCTCAAAACAGCGGCTAATTTGAGAACTGGCTTCGAACTTTAAAGAATGCTAATAATTGTCATTCTGATACAAAATGAGTAGATTTTTTTGCACTGCTTGGATTTCGTAGTTTAGTAAACGCGGATACTGGTTACCGACATACTGAACTAATGTAATGGTACGACTTTGCAACTTCCTGGTCAATTTGTACCTAAGAAGACTTACGTGGGAAATAACGGCTTGTGCGAAACATTTTGAGGGAATATGTAAAGCTTGCAAAGTAAGTCGACGGAAGTACACCTTGTTAATGGCGGCAAGGGTATACGTTTTAAGCCGAGTTGAAACTAAAGGGTTCTGTAGCAAGAATTGATAACAGGTTTTATTGGAAATGTAAGTAAGATAAAACACGGATATTGCTAACAACTTATATTACTGTTAGCGCTAATAATTGGTATGAATGGATAAAATAAATTGTTTTTATTCCGGTGTTAATGAAATAAGAAAGAACACACCGCTTTACTTGCGGAGGAAAGGAATATAAATAAATCAGAAAAAATCTTACATTGGCTCCTTCGTTATTTCAATTTTCAACTTTAATTTCAATTTATTTATTTCTTAACCACATAACTTCTAAAAGCCAAAGATTTGATAGTTACGCATTTTAAATATTTTACCGTATTCGAGTGCTTTCACATTTAAGTTATTAAGCTCCTAAACCTCTTACAACGTTTGTAAAGGAAAAAACCTTGTTATATATAGGGGACCATTGCCAATACGTACTTGTAGATTTTTCAAACTTGCTAATCTTTGCTTAAAGAAACTAACCTCTGTGTTAAGAATCCTAACGTTTGTTTAAAGATGGTTTAACCAATGCGAACAGCGTACAGCGAATGACTTAGCAGCGACTGAGGTCATTATGAAGGAAATGACTGTTTGGGGATTCCTACTAGATCTGCTAAGTTGAAGTCGGCTGTAAAAGTTGTGTGCAATTGATGTTGATAATTTCGTAATTCCAACCTTGACGGGGCAGCTAATATTAAGATAAATTTCGTTCCGTATTGTCTTTCTTTTAAATTGAGCTTTTTGAGCCAAAAATATTTTACATTTTAAGTGGGAGATCATACGTTTGACAACGTGAATAAGAATAGCTTTTCTTACTCAGCGTTAAATTTTAAATGAATTAAGCCATGTCTGGTAGTCTGTGTGCATATTTGGAGTTTGTTGTTGACACTATTTTGATTGCAAAACTGTGAATATCGATTTCGAATTCGGTAGAAACATTGGGATTTTCTGGAGGCAGGTTTTTACTAAAATTGAACCAAATTGGTCAGGACACACGGTTGTATTAAGGCGTGTGCTGCGTGCAACTCAATTTTTCTAAGCAAACATTTGGGTTTTTCTTCTTACTCAGAAGTTATGAAAGATAGAAGGCTAAGATTGTCTACATTTACTTTACGAAAAAATCTACTATATATATGTTACGCTTCTCAACCATAAGATATGTAGGACAGAATGTTTTAAGTTATTGTGTATGTTCTTTAAATGAAAATGAATTATTTGCTCAGTTTGGCAGCACTCGCGCACGGTGTGGACGTATTTTTTACTTTGAAGGTAGAAATTTTGTAATTCTTTTTTTATTTTACTGCTTTATTGCTTTATACGGTTTTAAAACCTAAACTATTATGGAAGTGTTTAAATTTATTGAAATATCTTGA